GGGAATACTGAACTTTGAAAGTCTGCAAAGATTAGTTCACTTTAAAACCATCTCATTTAAAGGTATTTGTAGCTTCTTTCTACGTAAATACTGCCTGTGTGCCAAGGCCACAAAGCCTGTAGTATGGAGTTTCCTTCTTTATTCATTCCCTGCTTGCAGCTGCCTCCAACTCTTGAAATTCGACCCATTTTCACTGTCCACATCACCTGGGAGAATTGCGATGGAGTGAAATGTTTGGCACTTCCTTTTAGCAGACAGGGTAACAGTGTTTGAGGTGAATGGAAGATGTTTCAGCTAATGTGCTTTACGTCTGGGTGAGCTAAAAGCATATGCTCACTAACTGCTAGTTACTCAGCTGTCAAGAAGTAACTGACAAAGTTAGTACTGCCTAAGAGGCTTTCTTCCTCCCCTCCTTTGCAGCAGTACTTACTGTATGTCTTTCTGTACCCTTCAGATACACTTTTAAACTCATGGTTGACAAAGCAAGCCTGGGTCCAGTTGAGAACTTCAAAGAGCTTGTTAACTATCTAGAAGAATATGAAAACGACTGGTACATCGGGCTGGTGTCAGATCTTGAGTGGCAGCAAGCAGTTCTCCAAGAAAAGCCATACCTTTTTTCTTTGGGGCACGATCGAAATATGGTAAGAAGAATCAGCAAGCGGTGTCAAAGCTTGGTTTTCTTTTCCACTATTTTTTGGTTTGTCTGGTGTTTTGTTTGTGCATGTTTTGTGTGTGTTTTTTGGTTTTTCTTGTTTTGTTCCAAAAGATTTAGGCTGTGCCACCAAATTGCGCTAGACAGGAGCTGAAAATAGCAAGGCATTGTTCTTCAGATGCTGTCATGTTTGCTGGTTATGTTCCAGAATGGAAGAGTTGAATCAGGAAGACTAGCTGATGCACTTTGCCATTTTAGAGAGCCAGTGCTCATAGCATGAGGTGTCCCAGTGCTTCAGAGCCTCATTCAGTGCTTTGTAACTGAGGTGCTTGTGTGACTGCTTGGAGAAAACAATGAACATTTTGATGTTTGTTTTTGAAGGGAATTTACACTGGGCGAGTCCTCACTCTCCAGGAACTGTTAGTACAAGTGGGAAAGCTTAATGATGAAGCTGTCCGAGGTCAGTGGGCAAATCTGTCTTGGGAGCTGCTGTATGCCACGAACGATGATGAAGAACGCTACAGCATCCAGGCACACCCAGTTCTTCTGAGAAACCTCACTGTGCAAGCTGCAGACCCACCTCTTGGCTACCCTGTTTATTCTTCTGAGCTTCTGCATCTGTCTTTGTTCTAGACTGTCTGTAGCACTTCTTTGTTGTTATTTTCTATTTTCCATTTGCCTGTTGGGAAAATGCTCATGCTACATTTATACACTAGAAGTAAGACTGAGAATCGCGCTGGGTGGCAGTGCCAAACCAGTGTATGTGATTTGCACAGAAGTGGTGCTAGCCAGAACCTTCAGCAGGCAGGAAGTTCTGTTTTCTTGCTGCTGGAACATTTGAGACACCATTGCCAGTGTGGCTGACAAGCCAGGAGATGCTGAAATTCTCTTCTCCAGGTTAGAGAAGAGCAGCATGATTCTGATCATTAACTGTGGTGCGTTCTGATCTTTTTCTCTCTAATAGTTGGACAGGTGACTTGCACTGACAGGTTACAGCTCCCTGTAGAACCGTCAACCACAGAGTTGGTAACCAAAGTGTATATATGACTATTTATATGATTTTATTTTTTTTTTTATTATGGCCATTTTATATTGGACTGAGTTCAGTTTTAGTACTTGTGATAATATATGATTTTGGGTGATCTTCCTTAGTTGTAGTAAGTTATCAGCTGTGCTTTTGTGAAGTCGTAAGGGAGGATTTTTACCAAAGTACATGTTGTGGGGGGCAAAGATGTTCATATAAAACAGTTTGCATTCTGACACGTTAATAACCCGTATGGCCTGCTGATGAAAGTGGGCGAGTGTGGTCAGGGGACAGATGGAATTGAAGTCCAAATGCATTAATTTTATTTCCTTCTTCCAGTAAAACTGTTGTGTGCATCCTATGTCCCCATCACTAAGCAGTCTTCCACAAATGCAGGGAGTGCTGGATAACTGAGGGTGGAGCCCAGCTGTCTTTGGCAGATCTGTTATTATGTTTTTGTTCTGGTTTGTTTTTTTACCTTAGCAGAGCTTAAAACAATTGGCAATTGTTTTATATTATTTGAGGTCTCCTTTGAAACAGGTCTGGGTCATCTCTCCAGTTAATCCTAGTCGTTACCACCAGTCATTAGCACATAAATGTATTTTCTCTGTAGATCTGTAGTTATAGTGTAGTTACTGCTGGTGTAGGTTGAGCAGGATTAAATACTCAACTTTCTTCAAGCTGCAGAATCAATTTAAAGCACATCTGCTCTGTAACTGGTATGGTGTTGGTTTAGAGAACCCTGTCCTGCATAACCTGGAGCATGTGTATTACTTCTGCTCCTCACCTTTAAGATGTTTTCCTCTTGGATAAAATTTGTCACGGGATTGTGTGCAATGTATGTGGTTATTAACTGTGTGTTTTCACCAGTGAAGTATGCAAACCTTGTAATGGAATTCAGAAGTGGTACCAGAACACCCATCAAACACCAAAGCATAACTCTTCCACAGTACAGTATGAAATTCACATAGAGTATTCATGGAATCAGCTTCTAGACAGTGGTTGTTTGGTGTGCCACAGGAGCATGAACAGCAGAGTGCTGATAATGACAAAAACCCTTGCTTGCCCTGTACCTGGAAACAGAGAGTTGTGGACACAGATCTGCTGGGGGCTTTTACACAGCACCTGCTTCAGCTCCCAGTCAAGGAGGACTATCCTGGCAAATGTTTTATCCAACTTAAAACATTTCATACCAGTTGGAAAGGTTGGGATTGTTGTTTGTTCGTTTCTTTTTTTCTTGTCCAATTTAAACCTCCCTGCCTCAGTGTACACCTCCTACTGACTTACCTTCGCAGACAGTTTAATTCTTCTGTTTTCTACTTTGTCTTCTGTAAACCGAATAAACTAGTTGAGAAAAGACTGAAGAGAGCTGCGATCATTTTCTCTTGTTTCCCTGGTTCTCTCCATCTGGTACCCAGCCTTCTTGAAAAGCATTGCTGGTAACTGGTGTTACTGGCCCCGGTGTTCCAGCAGAGATCTCGATTGGTACCAGATGGAGGAATAGAATTAGTTATGTGCAGAATTCCTGTTTATGGACAGACTCCAGCACCCTGTAACATCCTGTCCCCAGCTACTGCAGGCAGCATGTCCTGCAGCCCCTCATGCATGGATACACTGAGCCAATTCATACATTGCACTGTGTTGTGTGGCAGCATGACTGATTCTTGGTAATGATTTTCTGTACCCCTCTTCAGAATCCAATTTTTGGCAGGTTAAATTCTGGTTAAAGTCTCTTGGTCTGCACTGCAGATTGATGTGGCTCAGTGCCTCTGTTACGTGTGTTGTTTTCTGTGTGCTACTCGAACAGTCCTGTTTGGTTTGAAGCATTTCTTTGAGTTCTGAGGAATTTACAGCACCTTCAAGCCAGGTTTGTCTGCAGCTCTTGTAAGCGCATATGCCACTACTCATCTGTCTGAGGGAATGATTTGGGATGCAGTATCTGGTTGCTGTGTGACCCCTGAGAACTGTTCTAGCTTTTTAACCAGGTATGCATCAGCGGTGTTGTAAATTCTTATTAACACCTGCTTGCATTACAGATCGCAATATTCATCACTCTAAGGTAAGCATAAGACACTGTGGCCTTGAAAAAGAATACTGAACAAGATCAGCTTTAATCTAACAAAAGTTCAGTGCTCATTAGAGGATTTTTACCCCTTCTGACCTAAGCAGGATTTTTTTAGCTCTCATACAAAAACATTAAGTCCCAGAGACAGCCTGTCTCATTTTGTTATTATGAGGCAACAGGAATCAGCTTAATGGAGTGAAATGAACCTTCTGTTCTTCCAGAGCTGCGTGAGACTTGCTTGTCATTTGATCAGTCATTTTTGTTCTAGATGGTAGATTCCTTCTGTATTAAAAGCCATGTGAAAAATGTCACTTTTGACTCTGCTACACTTAGAAAGTTTCAATAATTTATGAATGGGTTACTCTTTTATTATTGCTCAATAATATATATGAAGTAGAATTTTTATTTTTATTTTACCTGGAGAGTGTGGCTTCAGGTACATCCAAACATTACTGAGGACTTCAGCAGCAAAATGGTCACCAAGCTCGTAAACACAAAGAAATTACAGAGGTATTTCTAGTAAACAATTGAACTGAATGTTAATTTGACTGTAGAAGTTTTAAACCTGCAGTCCTCGGTTCTCCACCGCTGATATTGGGATTTGCTTCTGCTTTGTATGAGGGTGCCTGCTCCTGGCAGGGCTGGGAGCTTTCTCGTGCTCGAGTCACCCACAATGCAATGCTTGCCCTAATCCAGCTCTGACACAAGTGCTGTTGTCTTGGCTGTAAGCAACCTGATGTAACAAGTTCTTTGTTAATGCCATGCCTGTGCTTGTAGCTACATGCTGTTCTGCTATAGGAACTCTTCCCCTTCTTTTCATGATACTCGAGAGCATGTACCAGGCTTAGTGCAAAGCTGAGTGCCTGCTGTGACAGAGGTTACAGTCATATCACTTTCTTCCTTCCCCATTGCCTAAGTTTCACACTTCACCTCACCAACCAGAAACTTGAGGTCTGTGGGCTCTGCAGTTGTCCTTGGAGTCCTGAAGACAAAGTACTTCTAAATACTGATGAAATCTCCTTTTCCCAAAGGAACAATTCTCAAACACTGACTATGCTTCCTTTAACCACAAGCTTCTACCTGTGTTTTTCTTCTGCTAATGGCCCATTAAGAGTAAAAGTGAAGGAAATGGAATCCTGTGGGTATATAATTCACAGCTTGCTCACACAGTATTTGCTAGTGTCATAGCAGCAGAAAACAAAGCAATGCTTGACCTCTGTCTCAGTTGCTGTAAGTTTTTAAACATGTTTTAAACCAGGTGTATTTAAAAACTGAACTTTATTTAGCCAAGTGCGTATACAGCTTGATAGATCTGTCAAGTCATACGGTGAGAAAGGTACAAGTGATAAAAAAGTTCTCATTTGCAGTCATGCAGCATGGGAAAGTTTCTCAGCCTCAGCACGAGTACAGCAGGATTCTGTACATTTCTCCTTATTTCTTCTTTCTTGAATAAGAGGCATCAGCATCCTGGAGTGAGAATACATTGTCAGCATTTCCCCTCCTTGTGCTATACTGGTGTCCTTCAATCACAGTGTTACTTTGCCTGAACCACCCTGTGACCGTGGGCAGCTGCAACTTAAAGCTTCCTGCCTTCGCAATCTATGTGCCGACGTTAGTGTTCCATTTCCTGATTTTTGAATGCTTCAACACGTTATTGCATACTAAGTTCAAGAACACAGCGAAAAATGTACCATCTACCAAGTAGTGCTGCAAGATCAAGATACAGCGCTGTACGTCTGTCTTCTGGGAAATGAATGAGAGGGAAGAGGCCTGACGCAGAGCCATACTCTTAACGTGCTTTGGGAGATGCTCCGATTACATGTCTGATAGAGAAACTTGACAGAGCTCCCAGAGAGTCTGTCAACAGTCTTAATTTCAAACTGCGTTAAATAATCCGTGCCGGTGACTTACAGCTCAGCCCTGTGCTGCTGCTGAGTGTGAACTCGTGGCCTGCGTGACAAAGAGTAGAGGCAAGACCCTGGCACTACAAGATGTACTGACTTCACTGCTCTGCAATGTGACGGTGCTGCAGTAATTCTAGACTACCGGGCACACAGCTGTGAAGCCGAGCTGGGCATCAGCTGCCAGGGAAGTGAGGAGGAAGAAAAGAAACGGATCCAAAATTGCAATCCCAGCATTCCTACAGCTAAAGAGTCTGTCAGCAGCATAAAAAAAGCAACAAGTGGGGGAGAGAGGAATAAACTCACCACTCCGCTCTTAAAGTTCTCTATTCTCCTCTTGCCCATTCTGTTCATCAGCCACCAGGCCCAGGTGGGCGCGTACTGCCAGAGGTAGCAGACAGCCAGGTAGGGTTGGTCGCTGATCCAGGCCTCCTTCAGGTCATTGACTGTGCTCACCAGCGTGAGCCGGACGCAGCGCTCGGTTGGCATCTTGTGGGACTGGTCACCGCTGTTCTCTAGCGACTGCAGCACAGAGAGAGGGCAGGAATCAGAACCAATCTGTGGTTGTGGCTGACAGAGGGAGAGAAAGGGACGGGCTCTGTGCAGCAGGCATGCTCTTCTTAATTTCTGCACTGTGCAAATGAGGAACAACCCATCTCTCCCTGCTAATCTACTGGCTTTCTGTGTGGGAAAGCTTACTGCCTTCCTTTAGATTAAATAAAGGACCTTTTTAATTAATGCCTCATTGAATAGTTCAAAGGTTAAAAATGCCTCAAAAATCTATTCTGGTTTGGCATAAAATTACACTGAAGGAGATACATCAGGACAAATTACCCATTCTGCAGCTAAAGGCTTTGAGAAATGCAAACTTTCCTGCTCCCAGCTGCCTACCCCATTATACATTCCAAGTTAATCTGTAATCAAATTAGTACGAGGACATGTCCTCCATTAACTTAAAACTTCCTGCCAGCTCTGCTCTGTGTGCAGCTATCTCAAGAGAAGAGCAATAGACTTCTTCAGTGGCAGTGATGTTTTGTTTGATGTCTTCTCCACAGGTATCCCATAGTGAAAATAAGCTGCAGCTCTGTGAATTCATACACATCTCACTCCAGCAGTCATGGACTGCTTTATCACTTTGTTATTCTGTTTCCCGGAGCAAAAGCTATTCTAGCTTAGATTCAGTCTTCCTCCTGGGTCTTTTGCCACACTGAAATCTAAGGAATTTGTTTTGCAACATTTCCAGATTGCTGGAAAAGTACATCTTTTCTTTCATGAAAGTATGCAGTTTTGCAAGCCAAAATTCCTTTCAGAACTTGATTTAACAATGGGAGAACTTCTTCCTCCCCCTCTTACTTGTGTGTTATCCTGAGCTTTAAATTAACTGAATTTATGACATTACCAATATAAATCACAGCAACAACTTCTGCCAGCTATTCTGCGAGACAGCCTTTATTAAAAACAACTGAGCAATTGGGAGGTTTTGCTATTTGTCCTTGAACAACCACTAACAGGAAAAGAATGCATGCCTCACATCAGCTGACCCCAGCGGCTTTGCCAACACTTGCACCAGAGTCAGCCAAACAGAGGACCTTGTGAGTAGGGCAAACAGAAAACTACCTGTGCTGAAACACTGCTCTGCACTGTAGCATGGTATCTAGGAAACAGAGGCCTTTTCCCCAAGACTGGAGCAGGGCAGCTGTAGGGTTAATTTACAAGGTGTGGATCGGGTGCGTTGGAAGAGAGGACAACAACTCTACAACTTTATTTTCATTTTATATGGACCTAATACCACAAAGCATTACATGACAACGGCTTTGCATTAACCAAAGCATTTCTTGGTAAGAAAAGGGAGGTTGGTGTTTGCTAGGGGAAGCAAGAGAAAACAAAATCACAAAAGGTTCACATTTGCCTGTAGCAAAAGTTGGATTTACTGTAGTAGAATTTCGAGTCCTTACCTTGTCAAGTTTCTCCGTAAAGACATTTTGTATGATCTTAGACTGCACAGGTCCTGGGCATATGTTGATAATGCTTATCTCAGGGTAGTCTGTCAGCTCCGTCCGAAGAGAATTAAAAAAACCCTGGAAGAAAAGACTGTCGTGTGACTACATTTTAAACATCAATTTCTGCAATCCCTACTATTTTGACTATTGTCCTATCCAGCTTGGGAAGAGGGCTGTCTGGCCCAAGCTCTTATCCAAAATGCGCTGCAGGAGAAATGTCAATCAGATGTTCTCCTGTGGTGACACCAACACAACAACTGGAGCAATGCTCTAAGGACAGACAACAAGTTGCACACCCATGCACGCTTACAACCAAGACCTGTCCACATATGCTCTGATTTCCCAATCACTGGTGGCTGATTCCAGCTCACAGATTGCACATAGGCTCTGCAGCTACGTTCTGTAAAAGCACTGACTTGCACCTTTTAACTCACAAGACCCGCAGGCCCCACATTAGATCTTCAAAGCAAATTATCTAAGATGTGTAGCTTCTGGAGGACTAATTCTAGCACTAAAGATGTTTGTATGTCTGGAAGTCTGCTTCTGGACAGATCAGGAAGCCTCTCAGATCTCCCAAGCATTCAGATGATTTTGATTAAAAGCCTGGGCTCCTCCCTGGAGTACTTCTCCATCCCTATGCACATCTTCAGCCATGGCATCAACACTGCTGGCTGGGCTTCACCCATTGCTTTGGGCTGATGCTGCAGCCCACAGCTGTGCTTTTCACATCCCCTCCTTTGCCCAAGGGATCCTGGGGACACATCTCAGAAGAGCACCAATTTGTGCAGTTCCATCACACAAGCTGTGCAGCCAAGCTAAGTAGAAAGTAATATGCCAAAGAGCACTGGACCTTAAAGGGGAGAAGGTGGCAGTGTGTCAAGTTGGTGAGGACAGCCAGTTTGATCACGAGTGCTTTGTATGCTATTTACTGCAGCAATGACTACAAGCCTGGGCTCTCACACAAAGACACCCTAAGCAGTAAGCTATGCAACCATAGTCCCTGCCATATGCAGTCGTTGGTTCCTCCATCAATACTGAATTGCAGGAGCAGCACTTAGAGCTCTTCCAACCCTCACTCCCTTATCACTCCATGGGATTTGGGATTGGGTCACTGGTGGACTCCAGGGATATGAATTCTAGCCAAAATTGGGCACAACCCAGAAGAAGCCAGCTCTGCAACTTCAGACAGCTTCCCACAGAGGGCTCTGGCACACCCCCTCAAACTGCTGGTTCCCTCCAAGCGTTTTACAAAGAGAGCCTTGTTGCCTTGAACAAATTGCAAGGTAACAAAAGCTAAACATTGGTCCAGTGAGACATAGTTATCCTTGAAGATCCTGTCTAGACATCAGCCAAGCACAGGGCTGCTGAGGTTTTTTTCAGTGTTGTTTGAGTAGTGGGGTCAATGTCAGTGCTATTTGCAACCAAGGGCTTCAGACTCCACAAACACGAAATCTATGTAGCCAGAGAAACCAGCAAGATGCAGTTTGTACTGTGACCACCCTGCTATCCCCCTGCATTTAAAGGGCTTTCTGTGACCCCTCCCTCCCTCCCAATGCAGTTCTTACACTGCAGAAGAGGTGCAGCCCACCCAGAGCACACAGTGACTGGCACACTTGCTCAGGGGGAATTCAACAGACCCTCATGAAGAAGGCAGCTCTGGCACAATGAGCTGGATGAGGCTGCAGCAGGTCACAGATTCACAGAAGAGACCTCTGGAGATTATTGACTCCAACCTCAATGTTAATGCAGGTTCCCTATAGCAGGCTACACTAGGGTCTGCAGAACAGGAACTGCTTCAAACCATGGGCCTCTTCAGCTTTGTAACCATATCCTAGAAGATGCTGCAAAAGGTGATGCTGAAATGACTTCTGAGACAGAAATGTACTTCAGAAATTCCTCTAAGGATCAGAGGCTGAATGAAGAGTGGCTGTTGCTGCTCCATGCAGCCCATGTGCCCATTAGACAAGCTCCTGATGGAGGTACATTTTTAAGATCACCATTTCTGATTCACTCCACATGCCACCAATTACACACATTACAACCAGAGGAATGGTGCATCATTTCCACCAGCACCACCACATCAGGAGAGAAACTGCAGAAAAGGCTGATTTCCTCAGCTTTTGAAATCTTCCTCATTCTAAAGAGATCCATTTGACATGAATCAAGATATACTTGTTTAACTATATTATAGATGTCAGACTTATATTTAATAACAGGTGGACAGAATGAAATCTGCAGTTCAAGATGACACCGGGTTGATACATGCTGGGTAAACACAACATGAAATGCATCACTTCATGCTTGGTGTTATTTTTCCCCAACTCCTCTCTAATCATTTCCTCCTGGTCATCAGAGATGGGTGTCTGCTAAGTGCAGAGGGCTGCCATTCTGACAAATCTCCTTTATATGAGCTGTATTGGTGAAGTTCGATATTTCAAAAGAGCTTTTATAGCTTTGGAGGTCTCGTGCCCACTTCTACCCATAGCTCTGGACTGGTAAGAGACTCTCAGGGTGAGTTTGATTTCAAAAATCTATATTGCAAACTATTTGCAATTAGTATTTGCAGGACTACTGCAAAAGAAACAAGAGAGGAGGTCTGGGGTCTGGCCTGGTTATTGAGCAGAAGAAGAAATACCAAAGAAAAAACAAGGTAACTGAACTGCTTATAACTAATCCAGACATTTTAGTAAACTATTTTCTTTTAATCTTCTTCCACATTCTCAATCTCCACATGAAACTCAAAGTTTGAGAACGTTTAAAGCAACTAACTAGCTGTGCTTATTCCAACAGCACCACAGCCAAAAGATCAGTCAAGTGAAAGAACGTTTTCAAATAAAGGAGTGTAAGTGAATGGAGTCCATGCTTCTGCACACTGTGTTCTTCTAATTCAAATCTACCAGACCTAAGTCAAGGCTGGCCTCTAACGGGCAATTTCATTGCTGGCGCCGAAATTAAAAGTAGCAGCTCTCTCCCTGTCATTAGCTGAAAGTTTTCTGTGAGCAGAGACTTGTTGCTGTCTTCTATATCCTCATTCTTGCAAGTGCCCATGGCTTTGCAATGTCAGCCACTTGCTCCATGTCTGCTGTTGGTGGTCAAACTGTCAAAAAGATATCAGTCCAATAGACTGAGCAGAGTTCTGTACTCTGTTCATGTGCATAATCCCAGCAGGAAGCAGGAACGTGCCAGCTTTTTGTTATTAAAATCATCTCCAAGTACAGCTGAACTTTGGCTTTCTGAGATCAAAGCATACATTAGCAGGAAGTCAAACAGTGGTGAAAGACAAATATGTCTAAATAAATTTGCTAGTTAAACAAATGATTCTGCAATGATAGAGGCAGCCTCTTTTCCCTGCAGATATTTTTCTCAGCTCTTCTATGTTTTTCTGCATGAGTGAAATGGCTTTCAGAAATCTTTCCAAGCAAAACTGAAAATTCAGTGTTACATAGAAGAGAGTAGGACCTCCTTCCTAAGGCACGATGAGCTGCCAGTTCTTCACAGCACACAAAGATTCAAAGCTACTGGGAAGATTCCTTCAGATCTTTCCAAGATCAGGGATTGCCCCTTCTCTTGTTAGTCTACTTTACCCATCACTGCTCTCACTTTACTGACCTCAAGATTTCCCCCAGTCTTTCTGTAGTTTTCCCTCACTGACTGAGCCGTGTCTTCAAGCACCATACCCCCATTCTTGCACCACACTCCAAGATACCTGCACAAGGACTTTGCTCAGCTCAGCGCCTTTTGCACACAGTGAGTGTGATGGGTCAGAAGGAGTGAAGAGAAGCATGGCAAACCCTTCTCCCACATTATCCAGTGCTGCACACATAGTTCAGAAGAATTCCTGTAAGCTTCTGTGCGGGTTTTTTTGCTAAAAAATGAACTGCCAGTGCTGTTTGCTGAAGAAGGGCTTGAAGTTCAATTCAAAGCTATTTTAAAGGCTACACAACTAGAAACTTGAGAAGGAGTCCATCTGTTGGTCTTTCACACAACAAGACTTGATAAAGGTCAGAATGTGACTTACCTGCAGAGCATGTTTGCTGGCACAGTACCCTGAGGCAAGAGGAGCGCCCATGATCCCCATCACACTGCTCACAGTCACAATCTTTCCCCTTCTCCTTTGGATCATGTGATCCAGAACATGTTTTGTCAAAGAGATTGTGCCTAGGTAGTTCAGTTCCATTATGGCACTGAAGACATCCAGGTTTGTATCCACAAACAGAGAGCGTTGGGAACGTCCACCATTGTTGACCAAAACATCAATCTCAGAAAAAATAAAGTGATAAATAAATTCAACATGTTTTCTTTAATATTTCACCTTCCTCAGGCAACTGCTAACTGACTGTTCCCTTCCCTCCTGCCTCCCCAAAACAGGACACCACTCCTTCGTATTGAGGACTGGCTGCTTTAGAACAGAGACAACAAAACAGAACAGTGTTTGACCCCAACTCCTAGTATAGGAACAATGGCAGCTGGAAACCAACTAGATCTGGTACCAAACACCTCACTGTGACACCAAAGTACCAGTGGAAGACTAAGGCGTAGCTTGAAGCTTCAACCACCACATGTAGTAGTAGTCAGATCTGACTGCCATTATTTTGGACTCACAATCCAAAATACCACACGAAACAAGGCAAGCACTTGTGCCTGATGTCCAGTTTTGTTCCATACAGCCCGGAACCCAAATTGCATGCATTATAAAGCTTACAAAATCAAAGTCCTGACTTTCACACACAATTTCAGGACTAGAATATACAGATGAGGCTTACTCCATTTGGTCAGGAAATACAGTGACATCGAGCAAATTAATTTTTAATTCTTGGTAACAACCAGTGATTACTTATTATTTGTTGTATCTCTGCAAAGCTGCTAAAACTCAGAAGCAAGCAATGGAAGGGATGGGAATTTAGGTATTACTTGTCATGTTCAATAATGAAACTTAAGCAAGAATGTACGCATCAGTAAACGAAGTGAAATACAGACATACATGCAGGGATAGGAGAGGAGGAGATAGAAAAATTCATCCCCAGGAACATTCCTCACCTTGCCAAAATGCTTCAGAACACTGTTGGTAGCAGCTTCATGAGAGCTTCTGTCAGTCAAGTCAAGACGCAGAACAAGGATATCTTTATCGCTCAAGTTGCTGATCTCTAAAAACAATCACAAAGTAAATGGGAACCAGTAAGGGTGCTGATACAACAACTGTGATAAGTGTGTTTTAAAACAGTCATTTGCACTAAAAAGAAACCATGACATTAAAATGGAAATCAAATGCTTTCTTTGTCCTCATTTTGATCTCCATACAGAACACATTTTTAATCCCTTCCTATCAAGTCTTTTTTCTTATCATTACGTTTTTGCTTGCAAAAAGCTTGATTTTATTAAATAGGTTTGTGCCTGCAATGTAGACAATGCAACTCCCCAAATAAATTGCAGTGGTTGAAAGCAATGCATTATGTGATTATTATTGGCAGCCTTGACATCTTCCTTGTAGGTAAACTGCTCAACCATGCCTACCCTCTCTAACAAGAACAGTATAGTTGAGGCCAAAGCCACAACCTGTATACATGAGCTGATTTATTGCAAAGGGAAGAAGGAGAATGATCCTTGGGAGTCCCTTCTAGCTTGGGATATTCTCTAAGAAGTTTTCCCTTTAACTGAGAGTTTTCAAAGCATCCACCTCTTGGAATAAAAGTCACTTATCATCAACTTCAAGTCATTATACTGAGTGTTTACACCACTGCCTCTTCAGAACTGATCTCTTCCCTAGAAAGCATTTCTAGAGCAGCCATGTGCTACCCTGGGGCTTGGGGGCATTTGACTCACAAAAATAAGATCTTCATTGTTAATCTGCCATTTTTTTAAACTGGATATTTTAAAGAATTTATTTATACTGGTTTAGTAGTGCTACTTTTGTTTCTAAATTGATTCGTAGCCACTATTACGTACACCCGCTCCCCTTTAATCACTGTGCTCTTTAAATACAGAGCAGAGTTTTTCATTATTGCCTGCATATGTAGGTCAGGCTGAACTTTGTCTCTACAGTGATGCACAGAAGAGGTGACTGAAATCCATAGCTTGCCTCTGTTCAAAGGTCACGAGTGGCAACTGGATATAATATACCTATTTCTCTGGTTTAAAGCTACTGTATTTCAGTGAACAGCCCTCTCCAAGACCTCTTCTCTCCCCTCCATGCATTTTTCTTTCATTAGCCTCACACTCCCACAAGCAGATTTGCACAAGCAAAGTCTACTGAGACAGGCCATGGGGCTAGAGCACCTCTCCTATGGAAAGGGTGATAGAGCTGGGGCTGTTCAGTTTGGAGAAGGCATCAGGGAGACCTCACTGCAGCCTTCCAGTACTCAAAAGGGCAGCAGGAAAGCTGGGGAGTAACTCTTCATCAGGGAGTGTAGCAACAGGACAAGGGGGAATAGCTTTAAACTAAAGGAGCGTAGATAAAGATTTAACATTAGGATGAAATTCTTCACGATGAAGGTGGTGAAGCACTGCAACAGGCTGCCAGAGAAGCCCCAAGCCAGGCACTGCTCATGGCCAGGCTGGATGGGGTTTTGGGCCCAGGTTCCTCCTTTTAAGGGCTTTTGAGAGAAAAGAAATTCCAGTAGTACTGGTGAAATTCAATTTGTTGTAGAGAATGCTGCAGGAAAATACAAATCCTTTTAGAAAAATCCTTTCAGTTACTTTCTCCTCCTGCAGAGGTGCAATGAAGCGTGGAGCATGTGGGCATGTGTATGACAACAGGTATTACCTGTAACCTTTACACAGCTTTCCTTCTCTTACCTTCAGCATTTAAGCAGTGTAGAATGCATAAACATATCACAGGGTGGTGTCTGAATTTTGAACAAGATGAATGTGCTTTGTTCTGACATTAATATGTCAATTATCTAGTTAAGTTACTGCTATGCATAGCCTACTGCAGGCATGTTAAAGCTTATTAGTTCCAATTATGCCATATAATTCAGCCAAATTCAAGTTGTTGTTATGCATTACAACTCAATCTTAACCCATCTCATGCTACTTAAGCCTTATAGGACATCCTTGAACTCAGTTACAAAAAGAAAATACACAGGAGGTGGAAGCAAGCACAAGCTGCCCTGTGTATCTGCTTTACATGGCATTTTGGTAGCAGGAGGGCTGCAGGGGCAGCCTCTGGAAGCAGAATCCAGAAGTTAGTTAAGCATGCAGAGATGGAATCAGGAAGGCTGCAACTCAGATGTAGTCAAAGCTGGTGAGAAAAGCAAAAGGCTTAAAAGGACTTCTATGGGTACAGCAGCAACAAAAGGAAGACCTAAAGACTGCAAGATCACCACTCAGTATAGAGATGGGAATGAAATGATGAAGGACACAGGAAAACATGAAAGATTCATGTCGTGTTTTCTGCCTGAATTTCACTGCCAAGTTCTCTCTGGTCTCCCACATTCCTGAGGCTAGCCTCTGGGGGAAAGCCTACCAGCATCAGAGGAAGACCAAGCTAGGGACAAACTAGAGATACCAACAGGTTGATACATGCATTCAAAAGCTACAAGAACCGACCAGAAGCACCAGAGTGGTACTGATATTTAGAGGAGGTCTCCAGTGACTGGAAAAAACACAAGTGTCATTGAACCTAACCTCAGTCCTTTGGAAAATTATATGGCAATTCCTCCTAAAACAATCTCCAAACATATAAAAGACAAGAAGACTACTAACTGCCAACATAGATATAAGATGGATGTAGACTGCCCAACAACTTAACTGCCTTCTGTGATGACAACTGGCTCTACAGACAAGGGGAGAGCAGCAGATGTTTAATATCTAGACTACTTAGCTTTCTGTACTGTCTTCCATAGCATCCCTGTAACAATATTAGAGAAATGAGGGGTCTAGAGGAGTTGATTACAGTGTAAATAAACACCAGGCTGGAGCAACCAACCACTCAAAATTAAAGTGATGACCAGTTCTAAGAGGTATCTCTCCATGGACAGTATTTGTCAGTATCTTCCTCATTAATTTCCCAGATGATGGAATGAAACATGGGTTTTCAGCAAATTTTGAGATAATGTCAAGTTCAAAGGAGCATTTGATATGCTGGAGGGCAGGACTGCCTTTCAGAGGCATCTTAACAAGCTGTAATAATGGTCTGACAAACCTCATTAAGCTCAACAAAAATCAAATGAAAAATTTTGCACCTGGACTGAATAGTGTCATGCAGCACTGCAAACCAGCATCCAAATGGTTGGGTATCAGATCCCCAAACAAGACTTAAGATCTTGATGAAAGTCAGAAAAAAATGCTACTGGGCTGCAAACAAGTACTGAGAAACTGCAGCACAGGGCCACCAAGATGGCTGGAGGAGCCAGCATACATGATAGTTAAGGAAAGGGATGGAAGGTTGAGTTTAGAGAGAAGGTAAGAGTGCAAGGGGGCTTCTTACTGAGGAGTTTCATGTATTCCTACCAATTCTCCCATTTGAATTTTTGCCATTATCACCACTTAGCCACACAGATCCCTCTTGCTCCCTTTTAAATATATCTACTGAAGTGACAGCTTTTTTGAGGCATCAGAAAATGGAAATAAGGAGTAGTGCATTTCTGAAGATCACTGTCAGATCTTCAGAGTAGAAATGCTTAACATTTGTTCCTCAGGATACACAGGAGATATTCTTTTCTGCATCTTGATCAGCTCATCCACATGAATCAGCAGATTATAATCAGGGAACTGTGTATGAGGGTGACTATCAGCTCCAATGTGTTGGAAATGACAGTGGCAGAATTGGAATATTGCAAAATTTGTGTCAAGTAACTCACATAACTGTATGCAAGTTTGTCAGGACCTACAGAAACCAATATGAGGCTGAAGGTTCCCTGGATCGCATCATTACTGGTGATAAGATGTGGTATCACCACTATGAGCCAGAGTCAAAACAGCAGTCCATGGAGAGAGGAAGGGGCGATCCTTCTGGATTTCCTGAAACTCAGACAGACCATCAGCTCCAACCAGCACATCATCACACTGACTAAGCTGAAGGTTTAAACTTCCTGAGTTAGGCCAGAGAAGAGGACTTCCTTTCTCCTGCACCATGATAATGCCAGGCCACATACTGGTTTGAAGACTGTGAAGCATACTGCCAGTCTTGCCTGGACTGTCCTACCACACCCACCAGATAGTTCACATTTAGCAACTTCCATCTTCCATCTGTTTGTGTTGAGGAAAGACAGACTGCATGGGCAACATGCGCTCCCAGCACCACCACAGCAGCTGTGAAACAGGGGGTCACCTCAGATTTGTACAAGCACAGCATGCAGGCTCTTGTTCATCACTGACAAAAATGCAGAGATAATGGTAGTGACTACACTGGAAAATAGCATTTTGTAACTGAGAACCTGCTCTATCAAACAGTGTTCTTGTGCTCTTTGCATATGTTGTAATTTCCACGGAAATAAATAGGAGGCATTACTTGTGAAGTGACCGACACAGAATGATACCCCTTCACGTGCTTCCTTCCCCATTATATAACATGGAATTAATAATGAGATTCTGACCTAACTCCAGCTCTTGAAGGCACCCATACCACATGCCTGAGTTATGCATAAAGTTTACTTTCATCATGAAATATATTCCCATGCTTGTAGGTAACTATTTCTGCAGCAACTCCACCACACTAAGAGTGGAACTGGCCACATGAAGCAAGAACTTATACTTACGAAGGCATCTCTTTTTCACTCTTTCCAGCTCATCCTCTCTTCTTGCTGAGATAGCAAGCAAAGCTCCTATCTTTGATAGCTGGTAAGCCAATTCTTCTCCAATTCCACTTGAAGCTCCTGTCACCCAGACAACCTTGCCACGCAGCTCATTTTCTGTCAAAAGAACCAGACAGCAGTTCACACCTTGCTAATGCTAGAATAAACATAGGAGTCACTGCAGAGATACAATCTGATACTGTTTGTAAGACGTGCTCAGCTTTATTGGCTGTTACAAAATCTTGACTTCTTTATTTTTTGGTCACATGTAGTTGTGAAATTGTTCAATGCTGTTCAACTGCCACTTGAACTTTGTTCCAAGGCTGATCTGAACAAACACGGATGGAAGGTATTTGGTTGCAGTTCTGCTGGACAGGATTTCCACAGACCTGATCAAAATGAGGTTCAGAGGAAATAGGGGAATTCTTGGAAACGACAGAAAACTGTTACTATATTGCAAATCCAAAGAAAAGGCTGAGCAAACATTTCCTAATAAACGTCCTACCTCAAAAACATTCCTAAGGAACTGCTTAAAGCAGCAAGTTCTCTGATCATAGGAGGCTGATCAAAAAAAACACAATGGTGTTCAGCCACCTTGTTTTGCATCTGATGCGGGTTAATTCTTGCACTGGTCAGAGTACAATACACTGAATTCCTAAAGTATTCCTAGGAATTCCTAAAGCTCATATATTAATTTCCTGTGTGCTTTCCATTCTTGCCCTGGTACGTCTGTCAAATCTCTAGTAAAAGTAGTACCTTACTGTTTCTCCTCTTGGCTGTTCCCCCTTGTTTGCAGTCATTCCCTCACCCCTGCTCCAAGACAGACTTGCAACTTGTGAAAAGTTTAGCTTTCCAGGGATACATCCACAAAGAAATAAAATAGATGGATCAAAATCAGCCACTTCATTCTCAACATGGCCTAAGCAATAATATCAGAGTACATATTGACTAAAATTTGCCTATTTTTCAAGATCAGTCTTAGTGAAAATCTGACTCAAGTACACAGAGGGCTGCTGAGCAGAGCTTTCCCTTCTATTTGCCATACACACAGAGCACTCAAACAATTCCTAGCCAACCAAGGACTTCTCGTTACCATTCTAATAGCAGAGCCAAATTCACTTCCTGGGACTTAAAGCCCATTTGATTCTCAAAATAGCCAGAACAGCATTTTTGAGCTCACTGAACCTCAACCACTTTCTCAGTTTAGCAGAAACTCACCCTTTTTTTTTCCTCCCCCACTCAAGCCAATGGCTGTGACAACTTCTACTTCTTGCTTCAGGATCAGATCCTGCTTCTCTCTGCACTAAACTGTCTCAAATTCCTACTTTGAGTCTTCACGATGAAAATCCCATGAAGAGATGAGCAGCAAAATCTTCTTCCCATCTGACTGGAAGAGCAGAGAGTATTCAAGACTATCCGATCTCAACTTGGGTTTGCAGTACTGGCATCAGGCAGTATTTTTCTTTTTCTTTTTTTTTTTTTCTTTTTTCTTTAAGCTGACTGTATGTTAGCCAAAGAATAAGTCTTTCCTTTTGTTTAAAAAAAGGACTTTTCCAAAGGAGAAAGCTAAGGTTATGAACATGGGAAGTGGAAAGAGATGTCACTGAAGTTGTAGGAATAACTTTAATAATTGTATCAGAAGGCTGCTGCCTTCAACACTTATTTACACTCTCCCTACAGTTTCATTTCAATATATTCCTAATTCCTTAAATTAATCACAAGAAACATGGGGGTTCACAGCTGATTAGTTTGTTTTGTTGGCAGAAAACCTGTGGAAACAAGTACTATGTGAAGAAAAGGGCACATGGACATGCCTTCATCCCTGTTTATTACACTCATCTCCTTTTGCTACTGCAAACAAATTCACTTCTTCCTATGACACAGTTCCTCCATTCTCAAATTGTCCTGGGCAGCTTCACTCCCTGAAGTTGTTCAGGATCTTGTTCCGTGGACAGAATAGTTAACAGAGATTTCTCAGTGCTGATTGCTACCAAGCACTGGAATTGATGTAATTTAAGATCTAGCTCATAAGCTGCATCAAAACTTAGATGACTTTAGAATAAATGCCCTGTTGATATTGCAAATAGGCTTAAAAATTAACTGTGCCAAATTGAAAAATAAAAGGAGAATGTGCTTTTACTAACCATTAACTACTGCATTACATAAGAAACAAGTGGTTGAACAAAGCAGTAGCACACATCTTACAAGATGTGCTTCTGTTGTTGAGCTCTATTTGGGAGGTTTGCCATCATTTGTGTGCCTATCACACAAAGTTGCCACTTTATTTCATTCATAAAAACATTTGGGGTGGAGAAGTTTGAAGTAGAACATTCCCCGTGCCCAGAAAGAATCATGATATTACGCTTAACTTGAAGTTTAAGGAGTAGGCTTTCACATATGTACACATTTGTACATAAAAGGATCCAACCACACTGACTGTGAAAAACACAATGTTCAGAGTGACTGCTGATCTGCTAATGAGACACAACACAAAGTCACGCAGTAACCCTTACCTCCTGATCACACAAATATTTACATTTTGGGAAATAATCCAGCATCTGCCAATGACAAAATCCAGATGCTTCCCTATAGAAGTGAATCAATGGAATGAAACCAGTCTTACCTACGTGTAATTACAGTTCACAGGATAAAGAAACATCTTTGCTAGTATTTTTCCCTTTTGTTCCCCTCACTGAGTAGACATGACCAGCACTGTGGTGCCACTATCCCATATACGCCTGGCAGAGCTATCAGCAAAACACCACTGAAATGCTACGATCTCAGCTACATGTTGCAGTTGATGACAAGCACCAGTGGCAGAACACAACCCATCTCTTTGCAAAGTAAAGAAGCTTACATTTATAAAATTCTGACTGATTCTTCTCAACAAGTTGAAAATGCCCCATCCGAAAATGTCTACATTGTTCCTAATGTGGGACTATTTAAAAGGTTTCAAAGCTCCCAGCAAGACTGAAGGCTGCCTTCAAAAAATAGTGGTCAGGAGCTGGAAAAGGCAGTCAACATCTCTGGAGGCGTTCAAGAAACGTGTAGATGTGATACAAAGGGATGTGGTTTAGAGGGGAAATATTGGTGGTAGGTGGATGGTTGGACCCAACCATCTTGGAGGTCTTTTCCAACCTTGGATTCTGTGATTCTATGAATACCATCTACCCGAGAGCTCCTAGATCTCCATGTGCATCACATAAACCCTCGCAGCAAAACCTCTGCAAAACAGATTGTATTTGGGGAGATCTCTCATGTTTCTCTGCCCTGAGTCTTTGCATGTACTCTGCAAAGATCACACACACAGATGTGATTTTTTTAGTGTAGTTTTCTCGTAGTAAGGGAACTACCTGACGGACTTACCATAAAACTTTATATACACAAAGAGATACAGAGGATTGCACACATTTTGTGTTCTTAGTGCTGTGTGTTACTTGTGCACTTTTCTGTTCTGTTCTCCACTACATAGACTTCTACTTTCTGACAGAGCTTGCTGTAGAAGACAGAACAGCCTCGACAAATTTGGGGCCAAAACCAATAGTCTCAACACCCTCAAACCCAACTCCACAGGGAAATGACCCTCACGTTATCCCACTTCTTCTGTACAACCTGAAGATGGCCTCCACCTTTGCTCCTAGTTTGTTGCACATCCCGTTGGTTGGTCACAAAAAACAGAATGGCCAGGGTTGGAAGGGACCTCAAGAATCTCCAAAAAACCAGTCCCACATTCACATTTCAAACATCTTTCTTGCCAAGCTCTTGACAGAGCTTGCCCTTAGCATCTCTCAATCCCTTCCCAATGCCAGCCTTCACCTGCACCACCATTCGTAGATGAATGACTGCCTCAAACTCCAATCTTCATCCCTCCATTCCCCCCAGACTCATTTTCTTGATGCTGCTTCTCCCTGCCTCAACCCACCACACAGTTTCATTTCACACACAGGACAGCTAACAATGTTTTCTGCACCATTCTCCATCCCACCAGACAATGTAAGAGGATGCTGTACAGGGACTGACAGCTCCAGCTCCATTTTCACCTCAGCTATCCACAGCTCACAGCATCTCAGATTGGGCTGCTGAGAAAGCTAAGGTGAAATCCCCAAAGTTTGTAGCTCATCTGATCAAAAGCCTCTGTTAAGCATGTAAAAGTTAGTTTTTACAGATCGTTAGTTGTCTGGAAGTGGGCAGAACTACAGACAAATTAGAAGGCCAACCTAAAAGTTGAAAATCCTGTCTGGGAGCTTTTTAGAGTCTTCATACCCCAGGGGACAAAGGCCACTCCTTACTTTCACAGCGGTCAGGATCCGAGGCAGTATCGCATCCCCACTCCTTATGGACCTTCCTTTGGTGCGGCCTCCTGAGCAACGTGCTCGCTCAGCGGAACTGTTTGCTACCCCAGAACCGGACGTATGACCGGAAAAGATGCAAAACAATAGTTTTGGGGCAAGCCCGGTCCCTGCAAAGTTACTTCAGGTTACTGCTTTATTCAACAGGTCCCTCCGCAGTCGCCCCGCAGGGAGATGCACGCGAGGGGCACCGCACACCTTGTGGATAAAGGACTAAGAACTCTGTTTTCGGGGTGATTTTTGACGTTCTTCAGACAAAGCCGTGGGGCAGCGGTGGTCAGGTTCACGGAGCTGAGGAAACTTCAGCTCCAGCTCCCGAGGAAACCTCTCACCCCCACGCACCGCCGCGCCCCGTCCCATCCCCTCACAGAATCCCACCCCCGGGATCACGGCCGCCCACACCCGACCCCGCCGCCTCCCTCCTAGCGGCCGGGGCCGCAGGCACAGCTTTACCTGGCTTCTTCCCCCGCCACTCCGCCCACAGCAACGTGAGGTCGCCGTCGGCGCGCAGCCACCGAAGCAGCTGCAACAGCAGCACCAGCAGGGCGCCGCCGACCAGCAGCGCGCACAGTCCGCAACCACACGACATGGCCGCCACCTCCCGCCGCCCGCCGCGCGCCTTTATAAGGGCCTCGGCCAGGCGGGAGCCGCCCCTGCTGCCCGCAGCCAGCGCCGGCCTGCCCTTCCCCGCCTGTCGCCTCCCATTCCACCCGCTTTCCCCGCCGGGCTGCGGTGGGCGGCTCCGCTCTGCTCTCCCCGGGGACGTGGCCCGCGCTCCCTGGTTGGGGCCGGTTGGTAACGGCCCCGCGTTTGGCGCAGTCAAGGCTACGGCGATAAGCGCTGCGTTTGCGGGGCAGAGGTCACGCATTTGACGGGGTGAAGGTTGCTTCCTGGAAGCGGGGCCCTCTTTATCCCGACGCGACGTGCTCTCGAGGGGAGCAGAGCTTGTGAACACACATCCTCAGTACTTCTGTGCCCAGAGATCAAAACCCGGAGCTCAACGCGAGGAGGAGAGTCTCAGGGGACACCGCCATCCCTTTGCTCCTCAGGCGGCTCCCTGTCATGGAGTGTGCTGCATTGCCTTTACAGGAGACAGCAGCTCAAAGTGCAGCACTGAGGCCAACCCCACCCGCATCTGGCAGCTGATGTCATCTGTCTGGAAAGAGATGGGGTTGAAGGTTGGACTGTTACTAGGTGGATAAAGAATTGGCTGGAAGGTCGCAGCCAGCGGGCTGTGATCAATGGTCCAGGTGGAGGCCAGTCACAAGTGGTGTCTCACGGAGGTCTGTCTTGGGACTGGTACTCTTCCAACACCTTTATCAATGACAAAGATTGAGGGATCGAATGTACTCTCAGCAAGTTTAATGATGAAACCAAGCTGAATGGCGCAGTTGATAGATCAGAAGGAAGGGATGCCACCCAGAGGGACGTAGACAGGCTTGAGAAGTGGGAGCACAGGAATCTAGTGAGGTTCAACAAATTCAAGGTACTACTGTTGGATCGGGGCAATCCCAGCTGTGGGTACAGACTGGGAGAAGAACTCATTGTGAGCAGCCCTGCAGAGAAGGATGTGGGGGTGTCAGAGTGGAGGCCAGTCACAAACAGTGTCCCTCAGGCGTTGGTCCCGGGACCGGTGCTCCCAGGGTCTCCCTTTAGATGATCCCAGAGATCTTTTTCAACAGGAATGATTCTACGATTCCGTGGTTATCTTAATGATAGATAAATATAGTTAAGAAATTATATTAATTATACCCACTCAAGTCTGTGAAAAAACTTCTTCAGAGAGCTCCACCAGCTAAAAAGCAGTGAAGTGACCACAGTCTGTGGCTTTTATCTCTGATTTCTGTAAACAATTTACATCATGCTCAACCACAAGATTTCTTCTCAGCATCAAAACAACAGGCAAAAGATTGACAGGAGTCCCAGGCTGCCAGCTTCCAGTCTTACCTTGATGGCCAGGGGTGCTTTGGCTTTCCTTCCTGGAAATACAGCTTTGAGTACTGCCAGTAACATATGCTCTTTGTGTTGCTTCAGAACCAGCAACTGCTTAGAGAAAAGTTGCATGACAAATTATGAAAGCAAAATGAAAGATTTCTTAAAGATTCGTGTCAACAAAAAAGCCCTTGGATTTGACCAACTCTAAATTCTCAAGGAAAACAAAAAAACTATCTTTCTAAGGTCTGAGCTCAGTTTCCACATGAGAAGCTAATTTTCACTTTCCGAAGAAGCCATTCCTGCTAGCAGTTTTTAAACGTGGTTGAGGATTACAGACTCAATTTACCAAAGTCAGCCTGTCCAAAAGAATGAATGACAGACCTATTGCACTTTGTGCTGTGATTTACGCAGATGACACTTTGGAGTCCAGTAAACATTCTGTTATTTGTATGTACTCAAATACGCAGTGAACTGCAAGAACCAAATGCAAGGCTGAAATACACGGCTCTGAAAAGAGAACAGTTACCTCTTCACGAGGTCACAGTCTTGCTCCACATCCTGCTGCCAGCCTTGGTGAGACTCCCTGTGTTGACTACGTGGCAGCAGATAACAGATCAATTGAAGTCTGAACATAGCGTGGCAATGTGCTCTATTCCTGTTACTGCCTGTTACACCTGTGATATTGGCAACAATGGAAATCATAGCAAAATAAGATGCCATAAGCCTCCAAAGCAGTAAGACAGAAATACGTATTTGACTAGATTGCTTTTTCTACATACTTATATGTATTCTGCAGTCATGAAGTATTAGGAAGATCTTCTGCATAAGTGCAATGATACAAACTCTCAAGGGATCTCTATTAATGAATAATGAATGTACAATACTTTTAATGCTACTAAATTAAAAATGTGTCAGTAGACTGAAAGTGGACTCTGCTTGTCCTCTTCAGCTTTATGATTCCAATTAGACCTATTTCTGTAGGGCTTTTTATTTAATACCTACACAGCTTTTTCTGTGTGACAATATTTATAGCATTAGAATTGTTAGGAACAAAAAGAGTAAGAGGAAAAATCAAAATGTTATGCTTGAAAAGTGCATAAAACGTACAAGTTTCAGCTTCACAACAGAAATGAGAAAGTGACATGCCAGCCTCCCGTAAATCCTCTTCCTCCTGTGATGGCTAAGGAGAATCAATGCACATGTTGTAAACAGAGCATTATGGGAAGGACATCCATTCACGGATGGAATTATTTAAACCATGGTTGGCAAGGTTCTTCAGCATCTGTTTCAACCCATCCTTACTCAGCAAAGCACGTAACTAAGCTTTAATAACATGCGTGCACTTACATGTCTTTGGACTCTGTGAAGTATACGCTTAGCTTTTAATTTTTTTAGGCCTATAACAGTAATATGATTAAGCTGTTTAATTTTAAGAATCAGTTTTACAGCAGTCAATTATACATATTAGGTTCAGGTAATCTAGCCAAGCTTTACAGTTTACAAGAAGACAGAAGTTGGTTGCATTTCTGAAACAGAAAGAAAGAATTTTGGTCTACCACCAAAGTGATATTTTTTTTCTATGTTCACTACAAGAGACTCACAGAGCTGTCTAATTGTCTTATATGTCACTTGGATACATAGGCACTGCCATGACAAGGCTACATGAAATTATTTCTATTGAGTAATGGCTGGCAAGAAAAAAAAAAAAAAAAGAAAAAAAGAAAAAGAGATTGGAATTTTTCAGTGTACTGCTTAGAGTTGGGTCTTGTAATCCACATTTTCATCAACTAGTTGTCTCAAATTCTGAAGACCTAAACATACAAATTCTAATCTGCTCCAATGCACAAAGTTCTCTACTGGTTTAATTAACTGCTTTCCTCTCTGGTTCATTTTAGGTGGATCAAAGTTTTCATGTTTATAGACTTGGAAGTGGAAGAACTAAGGCAAAGCCAGTCGTCAACAAGAATGGCTTGGGCTCAGAGAGACCTTAGAGATCATCTAACTCCAACCCTCTGCCATGCTCAGGGACACCTTCCACTACATTCAGAGCATACAGTATACTATAATAGGTAAGAGCAGTTAGGTTGCCTTAAACATGAGTTACAGCCAACGACACATACAGAAGATGTGCAGGGCTTAGGGGTTAGTGTGCTTAAGGCTCCTATTTTGTATGCTTTCTGTCTGACAGCAAGGTGCTGCACTTGGGCTGGGGAAATCCCAGGTATTTATGCAAACTGGGAGAACTCCTTGAAAGAAGCCCAGTGGAGAAGGACTTGGATGTCCTGGTGAATGAGAAGCTGGACATGAGCCAGCAGTTCGTGCTTGCAGTCAGGAAGGCCAACTGTGTTCTGGGCTGCATTAAAAAAGGAGCAGCCAGCAGGGAGAGGGAGATGATTGTCCCCCTCTACTCAGCTCTTGTGAGGCCCCATCTGCAGGGCTGCATCCAGGCCTGGGGCCCATAGTACAGGAAGGATGTGGAGCTCTTGGAGTGAGTCCAGAGGAGGGCACTGAGATGATGAGAGGGCTGGAGCACCTCTGCTATGAGGAAAGGTTGAGGGAACTGGGCTTGTTTAGCTTGGAGAAGAGAAGGCTCTGGGGAGACCTCAGTGTGGCCTTCCAGTACTTGAAGGGAGTGTATAAACAGGAGGGAGAGCAACTGGTGGATAGTGATAGGACAAGGGGGAATGGTTTTAAACTGAGGCAGGGGAGGTTTAGGTTAGGTATTAGGAGGAAGTTTTTCACCCAGAGGATTGTGACACACTGGCTGTGGTGACACACCAGCAGGCCAGGCTGGATGTGGCTCTGGGCAGCCTGGTCTGCTGGTTGGTGACCCAGCACACAGCAGGGGGTTGGAACTGGATGAGCATCATGGTTCTTTTCAACCCAGGCCATTCTGTGATTCTACACTGTTAGTTGTCCAAGGTGATGCAAATTTTTTCCAGTCCAGCTTTTCCTACAATAGTAAATTTCTCCTTCTTTCAAAGGTCTAAAAGCACTTTCTTTGTTAAGTCTGCAAGATCAAGTTTCCAGCAGTACTGACTAGCCAACACTACCAAGAGATCCTCAGTATAAAATGAATAAACTTTTCACAGATTTTTGGGTGAAGTGCTTCCTCTCTGATTGTTCATAAGGGAGACTCAGAAGACTTGTTGCCAGCCCTGGGAATTATACCACAAGCAGGGCGGCGAATATTTTTTGCAGTACTGTGATGCAATTTCTTTGATCCACGTTACAGTAAATAAAGCTCCAGTGCAATTAGCTGAGATTATTTCAGTGTCTGTCTAAAACATGAATTTGAAAAATGCTCTTGCTTCACTAAATTATTTATGCAGGTATGGTAACATTAAAACGAATAGCAAAAAACAGAGAAGCACTGTATTCCCTTTTTCAGTATTTCCTCTTCCACTTTGAGCAAGACGAAACAACTTATATAGATAAATGTTCTTTGTTTTGTCCAGAGTTTGTCCACAAGACTTTAGGGCGAGTCCATCATAAAATGAGTACCAGTGAAGTGAGGCCAGCTTTCATTCTATGCTTTTTGCTTCAGAATGTTACCTACTGCATATGCTTAGTATTCCTAGAAGAGACAAGCAAATGTACATCAAAGCAAAGACCCCTCCATGCAAATGTAACTGAGTGCTGAAAATATTTCTTACACAGGTCTGTATGGTCAGACAATAGATCTATCCACTTCTTCCACAATTTCTTATTTATACCTGTTTTAGCTGCAAGTCAATTTAAAGTGCGTTCTTTCTTTTCTAATAAAGCTTACTGAAAACTTAAAAATATACCCAGTGTAAGGGACATCCATTTGAATCTTCTAAATATGAGGGATCATTTATTTTATTCAGACATCAGTTTGAGGAGCGTTTCTGCTCTTAGTGTGTCAGTTGTGGAAAGAACAAACTCTCTCCTTCCTGGCTCAGAATTATCTTCTTGAGTTAAGTCTCTGATTTTTTGGGCATTTAAGCCTCTGCATTCCTAGCTACCCTAATCTCATTTCAGTTTTCAGTATGTTGTTCAATCTTAATGTTTTGATACACACAGCTCCTTTTCCCTGCCTTCTTACTCTGGCCACTTAGAAACTGGAAGGAAATAACATCCATCTTTTCCTCTTTCTCCTTAATTTTACTTATTCCTTCCATCTACTTCATTTCAGTCAGTTTAGTTTATGTTTTATGTGGAAAACTTACATCCGTTTAAAACTTGAAGTTGTGGAGCCAGTTCTAAACAGGGCACCTTGAACTACTGTGTCTTTTACTCATTTTTAAAACAAACATTTAAACTGTTGATGCTGTCTTCTTGGCCACTGCATTACAGTTTTGTTCCCAAACAATAAATGGTAAACTAGAGAGATCACTTTTTTTGCCTGTAACGGGTATAGTTACAGGCATGAGCTCTGCACTGACCCATGACCATCCATAACTTTATCATGGCTCACAGTTTGCTCAGCCCATACACATTCTCCCAAACAGTGTCTGAGGGGCATTAGCTACAGGCACAAGCCAGGTCCAGCCCAATGGCATCAAGACTAGAAAGTCAAAAAGTTGTTCTGCCTAGTAGCAGACACAGCACAGATGGTTACAGAAGTCTTTGCAACCATTTATTTAAGCAAATCCAGCCTTAGACTGATGAAACTGTTAATCATTTTTTCCCTCTCTCTTCGCCCTGTACCTCATTGGTTTCTCTCTCAGAAATAAAAATACGTAGCAAACAAAACATCTGAGAAAAATACAAAATAGTCATATAAAATACACAGTGGCAATAAGAAGCACAGGAAGCATCTACAGACAGAAGTAGGTGACTCCTGGTTATTGGTCACTGACTTTTTGTGGCGTCCTCTGAGATGGCATCCATACTGAGAAGGAGTATCTCAGCATAAAAACTAGAGATGTTTTCTAGAGTGTGATACTTTTGTTGGAAGCTACAAAACAAAGCAGGGATCCCAGTTACACTTGGCCCTTCCCTTCTTCCAAATTTCAAATCTATGACTTTTCAAGTAGATTATGAACTGCTTGGCTTTTTGTTTGTTTGAGAAGTGCTTGGTGTGCTTGTACTAACACCTATATCACCTATCGCAGTGATATCTCCTAAACAGAATATCTGCCTCCAGGCAAAGAGCTCCTGCACGTCAAGTTGCCATCATTGCCCTAACTGGATATCTGAATGTGACTTCAGAGTTCTAGGTGTGTTATGCAGGTTCTTCACGTAACAGTGAATTTTATTCAGAGGCTTAAGATCAGGACTGACTGCCTCAGCTATGCTCATTCTTTTAGACCACATACTTTGAATTCTCTTTCTGTTTATTGACATCGAAAGTACTTTTACTTAGAGAAATAAAGAGAAATCCAGGAAAACTCCAATCTCTTCTCCAAGAGATTTATATGAAGATTTGTTTAGTATGGTGGCACACCAATGGAACTCAGAGTCCTTATGCTGCATTATTTACTATTCTTAAAATACTTCCTTTAGTTTACATTGAGGGCTGTGACTAAATTGCCTACGTTTATACAAATACCAAAAAAACAGAATGTGTTCAGGTTAACTGAAAAAAATATATCTTTTGTTAATGCTATTTTGTTTCGTTATAACATTAAGTGAGAGATGGCAGGAGGAAACAAACAAGAGGGGCAAATTCTGCAGAGCTCAGTGTCTGTGAGCAGCCTGCTGTAGTCAGCAGAAGCAAACTGTTGTGGGGTGGCCAGGAAACGTAAATGAAGAAACAGCTCTGAGTCCTGCACTGAAAGATTTCCTCTATCTCCTTACACAGAGGCACCTATGGTTAGTTTTCATTAAAGCGTGGCACAGTTAGCATTTGAGAACATCTCCCAAATCTCACAAACAGATGGTTCAGGGAACCTGTCCTTTAGTAACTATTAGCCAATGACTCCATCAGATAACCAAAACTATTCTTCCTAATCAAAACTGATACTTTTTTCTGAATTATTAGTACTACTTTTTTGATAACATCTTAATATCAAAATTTTCCTGGCCAATTATTTTCCTTCTATTTTCATTAACGTTTTGGTTTTCATAGAGCACTACATTAAAGTTTACATCTTTTTTTACTCCTCTATAGTCAGATTTCAGAACAAATCTGGGAATAGGGTTTGCTTTCTAACTCAGGCACCCTCTGCTGGCCTTCCCAAAGCAAAACACAACATATCAGAGACACTTCATACACAACAGTGGCTTTTAAGACCAAAAATAAAATAATAATAATAGAAATAAAATTAAAAAAAAAAAAAAATTGTTTCTAGACCTTTTACTACCAGAATATGAACTACACGGAAGATCAGCTTTAGGGCTAGTTTGTTTTTTGTTTTTAAAATGAATTCAAGAAAATAATTGCACAATCAAGCATGTGAACCTGTGGAATTTCTCAGGCAAAAAGTCCAAATATGAACATTGCCTAAAAAGTTGATCACAGTTCGACTTGGCTCTTTGTAGAAAGCTGTGATTGGCATTTTAATGAAGGTATTACGTAATGAACTCCAGAAGTATATTCCACTTGTGCGCTTTTCTTCTCTGTGGATCCTGTTTAGCAAAAATCACAGATAGATTTCCATAGATAGTACAGCTTCTAAGGAGAGAACGAGCTAAGGAAATGCAGTGATTAAATAGCTTCTATTCCAGTGAAATAATAAAACAGAGATGATATAATTATTCATCTGAGAAAATCCCTGGATGTCAGAGAATCACACTGGAGCTCTGTACTTTGTGAACCCGCTGAAGGATAGGATTTACTGATGCTGGAAGAGGACAAGTTTGGTGCACTCAGTACTCCTAACAGTCATTTGCTGTAACCAAAGCCAATTAAAAGGTCGCTCTTAGACTGCTCTGACTAGTACCAACATCTAAACAAAGATTGCTGTGCTTCTCAGGATCAGGCAGATGTGTTTGTCAGGAAGATGACAACGTTCCTCTCTGGCACTGTATAGGGTGCTGTGCTGCAAGAAGCTTTGAATAAAATCTATAGGAATGTAAATCCAAGATGTACATTTGATCTGATGAATATTTCACCCATTCCACTTTCTGAATTCAACTTTTACTTGACATTAAGCTTCAGAGCAAGCATTGTGGTGCTTTGTTGCAGTTCAGCCTTCTGTGTATGACAAGTGTCAACCCGGAGAGGATCAGCAAGTCACAAAAGACAGTAACATCTTTTGAATAGTAGAGTTTGTAAATGATGTTAAAAAGCATTTTAGAAGTCAGAGCAATGGGCAGGATACTAACCTAAATAAAAGCTCTGTAAGCAGTCTCCTGCTGCCCTTCCTGGGTAAGTAATTCTTCAGCATACAGAAGAAAGTGCAGTGAATGAGCAGCATGATGAAGACAAACTTAGAGAGCCAGTTTTGTTCAGCTGTAAGAAGAGAAGGTTAAGGACCTTATTTATTGCTGCCTTCAACTGCATGGCAGGAGGATACAGCGAAGACAAAGCCAGACTCTTCTGAGAAATGCACAGTGATGAGACAAGATTCAATGGGCAAAAATCACAGCACAGAAAACTCTGACTGGAAACACTGAAATGCATACCTAGAGAAGTGGAATTTCAAACCTCAGGGATACCCAGACCTCAGATGGACAAAGACCTCAGCAAACCCATCTTGTAGAATCTGCTTTGAGCTGAGGGGACTGGACTCCCTCCAAAAAGACCTCCAGAAATCTCTTCCAAGCAAATTAGTCAGTGACTTTATGCTAAATGACCACTGTATCGTTAATCCAGTTTAGAGTGATGAAAGTCATTTTGGCAGTGCTAATGCTTCCCCGGGCAAATAAGAAATTTAAACTCAATCCAGGCTCACTGAAGTCAGTAGGAATCTTGAGTTTAACTTGAAAAGCATTGGATCAACTTCAACACTTTTAAGGTTTCTTTCAGAAAAGATCTTAAATTTTAGTTTTGAATAAGCATTAAAAACTGCACCAGGGTGTTGTTTTTTTTTTCACTGTGGGTTACTCAATAGGTTGCTGTTGCAGCCAGATGAAATTGAAACATTCCACAACCACTATCTTTGAGTGTTCCCAAATTTTACCTAGAGAATGAGTAGGAGAATCAAGTGTTTGCTTGGTGCTCTGAAGGTATGGTACTGCGTTTTTCAGTTTGCACTTGCAGGAAAACTCCTATTTGCTAACTGTTACTGGTAATGAGTCTCTCATCTAACTTGGGTTCAGCTCAGGTCAACTGCTACAT